GCGCCTTTGTGGCCAGGGCCCGGCCGACCCTCCTGCGCTTGGTCTTGAGGACACGCTCGGTTTTGCAGGAGGTGTAGAGCGCTTCCACGTCTTCCCGGGAGATGAGCGTGCATTTGGCGGCGTGGAAGGCGATGCTGTTGATTGCCTTGAGTTTCCGCAACTCCTCCAGATCGCAGTGGTGCTTTTTCACTTTCAGATGATCCATGCGCTTGTGCACGGTCGTCCTCGGGATGTTTTTCAGCAGATCCGTGAAGACTTGGGAAAGGGCAAACATTTGCTTTCCTTTAATGATGAGGTAGCCGAGCCTCACGCCATCCACCTCTTCAAAACCTGACTTCAGGTCTCCCATCTCGGGCACTAAACGATCCCCACCATTTGCAGTAAATATATACGTGACGCATACATACACATGTATGTATGTTAATCCTCCACCAGATGCTGCGTGTGTCTCAAGGCATCCTGCTAATAAAATAACAAAGACTGTTATTCCCGGCGAAGGGAGTGCCAAACTCTAAGCGAAATTATTGGGGAAAAAAAACATGAAATTACACTGACTTGATTCTTGCTTTTTTTTTGGTTTTCGTTTTTTTAAAAAAGAGGGAAAAAACCATCCGGTTTCTGATCTGCCAGTGTGTTGGTCTAAGTCCCCGATGCAGATCAGTACCTGGGCCCCTCTATTCCTTCCTTCTCCATTGGAGCACTATGATAATGGAATGTGAAGGAAGAAAGAGAAAAGAAATGCAGCTGCTATTCCCGCCGCTGCTTTAGCTACAAATAAAATGACAGAGTGAAGTGAGCTCGTCCGGAGACACCTTCATCAATTAATTCCCCTAAAGCCAGCGCTGATTGGACACTCCTGACAGGTGATGCAATAAAAATTGATATTCCACCCCTTCCCCCCAAAATCTCCCACTAATTAGCATACCCTTATACTGCCACCTCCCCTCCCAAAGTAAATAATACAGTCGGTATATAAATCTTTCCATTAAACTATCGGAGCTCAGAAACAGCCTGACTCACAGACTTCATCAGAAGCAGTGTGTGTACGCTTAAAAAAAAAAAACCGTGTATATTCGCCTTTAAAGGAATATTGCCTATTTTTGCTTTATTTGCATTTTACCGCTACAGCTATAATCATTTCAAAGAAGAGCATTTTGAAAACATTATCAAGCCTAAGTAGATATACCCCACCCCCCTTTTCCTTTGGAAAATTAAGCTTAAGCGAAAACGTGCAGAATAGCCTGGTATTTCCCTTGTGGAAGTGGGGAAGGAGCCTGGCTGGGAGCTCCAAAGTTAAATCCGCGCGATGAACAACCCCGGTAAAGACTTACGTTTTGAATTTCTCTCGATTTTCCTTTTTTTCCCTCCCCTGAAATGCCTTTTTACAACCAGAAATAAAGTTATTTGACCAACGAAGCAGTTCAAGGCTCCAGCTCCCGAAACACTGTAACAATTCAACTGGATTTTGGTTCTCTGCTGGGGGGTGGGGTGGGGAGGAGGTAGTCTCACGTCAGACCCATAACAAAGCATAGATAAGCCAGAAATGTGTACACTTTTCACAATTAACCAGGCTGGATTGGAGGCAGGATCGTCCTAGAGTCCCCAGGACAGCCTTTGCCAGGGTCCTGTTCACGACAGGTCAGAATTCCATGGAGCAGATTGCTTCTGTAGCAAAGAAAAGAAAATGTGAAACGCCCAAGGTGCTTCCAGAGGTTTTACGTAATAACGATGAAAAGAGAGTGCTGATGTACGATGCAGACTATTTCAGTGGTCTATGATGTTTTTGGTTGGTAGTTTAAATGAATCTTTCACAACTCCCATTTTTTCCATGAAAGCCAAGAATCTGTTTTTTTTAAATCACTTTGGATGAATATCAATATTGTTTAACCTCTTCTTAGTCAAATTAAGGCATATTTTGGTGTCATTTTCAAGGATATCCAAAATATTGCCAAATGAGAGCAAAGGTCTTCCCAGTCGCATTACCAAGATCCCAAGGCGGTTTGTTGGCTGCTTTGCAAAATTCGGCAAAATCTTCTTAACTGTTCGGTGTTTGCAACTACAGCATAAATGCAACCCAGGCATTTATATGTTTCCTTGTTCCTCCAAAAATAGATACATCCGTGTGGTTAAAAGAATAAACGGATATTTCTGAGCCTGCAAGAAAAAAAAATGTACAATAATTTCTTCCTTCACATTCAAAAGTTCCAGCTTCCCCTGCTCTGGTCTGGTTAGTACAAGCAGGTATGACTCAAAGAAACAGAGAGAGAGATTAAAACAGAAGAATCAGACATACAAAAAGGTAGTTTGCATGAAATCTCGGCCATAGTTCCCCACCCCCACCCTCATCTTCCTTGTAATTTCCCAGGAATTTTTAAGAGAATTGGGAATTTCAAGAAGTGCATCCGGAAATTAAGGAAGTCTATTTAAAAGAGTCTGTAACTCAGAGGTTGGGATTTGAAAAGTCAGCCCTGGACTACTGTTGCACTCAGCACAGATGTAATCGCAGCTCTTCAACTTAATCAATGTGTGTACAAACCGCGATGTCTAGTTCTTGCCTTTGAAATCTAAGGCTAGCATTTCCATCCAAGAAATCAGAGCTACAGCAAATTACATTTTTGTCCCTTGAATGAGAGAAGGATCATTGAATGGATCTCGTGATATTTCAGGCTTTAAACGTAACCGAGAGGCAGCAATGAACAATGCCTCGTCACAGCTAATACCATCCACCGAGTTGGCTTTCTTTTGCATCTGGATCTATCACACCGCGTTTTTCTCTTTCACTTTCACTGGAGGCAAAATGCAAAAGGTTTAAGCAGAAAGCAAAGTTTCCAGGAAAAGCAGATGCTGATGTTTGTTTTTTAAAGTAGAATGACCAGAGTCTTTCTATTGCCAGCGACAATAATGTCGTTTTAAAATTCCTTCTGATGCACTTATATACTGCCAGCCCTCTTCCTCCCACCCCACCCCCGTCCAATTCCCCTCCCCCAGCTTTAAGATTTCCACCAAAGAGTCAAACAGCCAAGAAATAGTAAACTCAGGAAAAGCCTTTGAGAAGACATTACAAAAGGTTGGCTAGAGCATCCTTTTTTGGGGGGGTGGGGGCAGGTAGTCCTGGTTGTTCTTGATTTCTGTTTAGATTTACAGTCACACACACACACACAAACTTACACTCCTATTCCTCCTACACGAGGCAATGCGATTTAGTAACCATTTCAAAATCACCTTTTCCTCTCCCTCCTCTCTTTCCATCTTTAAAATACTGGCAATATAGGTGGTTTTAAAAACTAGTAGAATATTAAACATTTTTTTTAAGCTAAAGTTACAATCTTTTGGGTCAAATGGAGAAAAATAAAGGCCAAGGGATTTGGGAACTGGATCTATATACACAATTTATGGGAGTATCTCTGTGCACTCAGATACCTTCACACTTATACATTTTTAATACTCCTATTATACATCTTTCTTCTTGTCTAATACATTCTTTTGTTCCTTTAACTTCCCCATCCATGTGTGCGTGTGTGTGTGTGTGTGTTAAGGCGTCAGCGCGCACATTCTCCCGTGCGTGCACACACAAGCACACACACACACACAGAATGTGACAGAGAGCTTTCTTGTGGCCATCAGCACACGTTGCATATCCAGGGTCTTCTCCAGGCACATTGGGGGTCGATCCCGATAAAAAGATCTAGCAGAGGCCCCTGAGCGCTCACACATGAAAGGCTGGGGACTTTAAGATGGATTTGCATGCACACAGGGGATTTCGATCAATAGCTACCAACATTTATGGCTTAGATTATTAATGTGAAAGCTGGCCAAAAGAATGGGGATGAAAAATTAAAGGTGTCTGTTATCAATTATGCTTAAAGTTATGCAATAATTTACTTACTTTGCCTGGATGTGCAGATCCAGATGTATAAAGTACTATTCTTCAAAAGCCAGGGGGTTTCTTTGATAAATATGTTGACCATGTCAGCCGCCTTTACAATCAAAGATGAACCCAGTTCAGATGATGGACTGTATTCAAATTCTTTTTTAAGAAAAAAAAAAATCAACTTCTGTATTTCTCAAATGCATGTGTGTGTGGATAGGTCTGAATTAACATTTATGTATATATCTATCTCTGAGGGTCCAGGGATTGAATTACTGAGAATTTAGGCATATATATGATATGCATTATTTGTTAATTAAATGTGACTAGTTACTCAATGAGGAATACATAATCTACACACTATCATAAAAAGCATTTTAGCTTCAAAAACAAAGCTGCTTGCTAAAGGAAAATCCTCTGTGGCAAATACAGATAGAAATATATTCTTAATGTCCACTTACTTCTGCATTTATTGTAAAAAATCAGCACTTTCAGTTTTCAAAGTGATGGGCTATGAAGATATGAACATATTTGTCTTTACTTATCCTTATGAATGTGCTAAATTTATCTTCAAATGTTCTATTTTGATTTATTTTGACTGTATTTTATGTTTAAATACCATTGCCATTCAGTCTGACCTCTTTCCTCTGGAGCGAAGTAATGCACACGGCATTTACAGTCTTCTAAATGGTTAGCTGGGAAATGCAATAGCAATTTGCAGAAGTAGTTTACTAATGGGGAAAGTTCTTTTGAAAACCTGAAGGAAAACCTAAGAGTACTTTTGCATTTCTACACTACAACTGTCATATAATTAAAGTATTGAAGAGCATTAAAATAATCCTTTCCCTTCCCAGCCTGCACCCATACATACATAATTTAAATGAGAATCACCCCGCCCCCCCCAACTCCACCGCCATCACCTAACTCTTCGCCATATACATTTGTTTTAGTGATTGCTGGCACATTTTGTTCAAAGTGAATTCAGACAGAAAAGACTAAGGAGCATCACAAAGGCCTCAACAATGTAAGTATATTGGTTAGAAGAATAAAAGAAGCCCCTTGTACTGTTTGCCAAAAGTAACTATAATACTTACAACATAACAAAGTCTAAAATAATAATAATTTAAAGTCTCACATGGCTGAATTAATTGAGGCTGTACGACAATAAAATCTTGTGTGAGAGTCAACAGTTCCTTATATATATAATTTATATAATATCACATGTCCTCTGTTTTTTTGGGAGGAGAAAATGAGAATGGAGGAGGAGGAAATGGCTAAATTCAGGAACAACTTAAATTATAACTTAGTACATTTTCCTTAATTTTTTCTTTTTTGTTTCATTCAAACAAATCAGGGCACGTCTCCAAAAGGGTCCAACCTTCTGTTCATAGGCACTTAAAAATCCTGTTTTTAACAGAAGTTTGGGACACAGAGTATATGCCATGTTGTCTACTGACCCATAATCAAAATGCAGTGAACTTCTACCCTTTTTTTGCCCCCTGACCCATCTTGAATTCAATGCGGCCTTTATAAATTTGCAAATCCTTGGAGGTAAAGCAGTTTTTGTGAGGCTTTGTTCTGAAAAAAGCCCTAAGAGTGTGCTTTCTAAATTAGACAAAGGTAAAGCAACAAACCCTAGTGGACAAGATTTTATACAGGTGAGCAATAGACAACTCTTCAGATAACACACATTGCAAGCCAAAAAGCAGTTATAAACATGAGAGACAAGAAGGTTATAGATTGCATCAAATTAGAGTGTGGTACAAATCACTTTCATGATGTAAGAAATAGGCCACAATCTTCCTGCTCTCCTCATCTCAAGGGCTGTGGGGGACCCTAGTGACCAACGAAGGAATGGAGGGGGGGTGGGTAGTAAAGAGAGAGGGGAGGGAGGGGGGAGGAAAGGAAAGAAAGGAGCAAGACCTGCTCTGAATCTACAGGCACATTCCCTTATCTTTCCTGCTATCAGCCAGTTTAAAGGACACCATAATTATGATGGTGATAAAACAATGCCTGCTTATGTGTGCTGAATAAATAAAGAATGTTTACAGCTCAAGAATCTTTTAATTCCAATTAAACGCTATCAAAGAAAAGCCACTTTTCCTACTGCAACTGCCTTTCCCCCAATTATCTTGTTTTGTTGCAGTATTTTCCTATAAGACACCAGGGCCTCTGACAATTGATCCTGAATGTAGGAAAAAAATCTGAGAAAGCAGAGTTCAACATTGATGTATGAAATAATATACAAATCTCAAGACCCACAATTTATTTGGGTTACCCCAATTTCTGTTTATTTTCCACCAGGGCCAAATGTGTAGAAACTGAAGTGATGATACTAGGGGTTGCGGCCTACCCATGGGCTGCTGAAGCCACACTGAAATTTTGAGCACTCATGAGGGGAGAAGGGAAAGATAGGACATGTGGGGCCTGATGGTCTCTAGAAAGGGAATCCTCTGGTTCTGTTCCCCTGGCTTCAGCCCAAATCCTTCTAGGAGCACTGGAGCCAATCACGGTCTTCCCCTGCTGCAGCTACTGGGCGCACACAAAAAAGCGGGAGATCAAAAAACCTCAAGTTCGCATTTATGGATACACAAGGATCACTTCATATTCATGACTTCAACAAATCACATCATAATCAGATTTAAAGAAGGTTTGGGCAGGAATGCCCACCAGGCTGGGCACTAAACACACACGTATCACACACTAACCAGAAAAGTCGCTTTTTCATTTTGGAATCATAGAGTGAAAATGCCTTTCAACTTTGAAAAGCTCACTTTTTGCTTTTAAGGCCAATTTTTAACACTACTACTTCTGAAGTGAGCACCTCTCTTTAAGTCATTCTGCAACATTATAATTCAAATTTCTCTGTCCTTCCTGTCTCAGTTCTAGTGTTTTGTTGTGTTTTGAAAAAAACACATGGCATAACAAACATTATGGAAAACTCACTCATTCCGTTAAAAGTCCATACAAACCTGGCTTTTTACTCCCATCTGTCTAAGCAGCGCATTGCTAAGTAGAAACTTTTAAAAAAAGCTTTCCTTGAATAAATAGCTAATATTTCTTGGCAGATTCTACTTGGTGATGTGGTAGAAAAATATAGTGGGAAAAAATTTCAGGGTATACATAAGCTTTCTGGATAGTTGCAGGCCCCTTTCCTTTTGAAAGTTTAGAGCTCCGATACCCTCAATTCTACTGGCAGAATTAGGATGGACTTAGAGGGTCCTAAACGTGACCGATTCACTAAGGCGGGGGGCTACAGCTTGCAGCAACGTGCTCGGCAACTTAATCCTACGCTAAAAGAGGGCAGAGAGCGAAAAAGAATGGAATACAAACTCTCCCGACATTCGTAGTTACTTTCAAGGTGGATTGTGTATTTTAAGGCTGATGGGAACGTCTGGTTTGGGGAGCAAAAAGAAGAGAAGGTAAGTGTTTGTCCTTCTGTCCACCAGTTCGTAGAGAAACAATGAAAGAACAAAGGAAACCACTTCTCCATCTGAACATTTTCTGAATCTCCCTCCGTTTCAAGTCAAAAAGCCTGCGAGGGGATTCACTTTACTCTACCGTAAGCAGTTGTTGCTAGGCTTACTGAACTAAGAAAGAGAAAAAAGTTGAGCGGTAGTGTAAATACAGACTAAATAATAATAATAATAAAGTCGTGTTGTGGCGAATCTCCACAGCCCCAGCCGCAGCAACTTACAGCAGAAGTTGCTAAATGCAGGACGGGAGATCCCAAGAAAATGAGCCTTTACATTCCAGATTTCGAACTCAGTCATTTACATAGCCTTGCTTGCTTTTTAAAAGGATTTCTGAGCAAAAAAATGTGTAGGTTTCCGTCTATCGGAAGAGAGCGGTGTACTGTTTAGGTCGAAAAATGTTCTCTATTGCTCTGTGGAAAAGAATTTTTTTTAAAAGGAACGGGGATTCAAGTATTACCGCTACTGTTTGTTGATAGAAGAAATGGCAGCGGTGGCTTGGAAAGGAGAAAGGGTCGTATTTAAATTATTTGCTTTTAGGTACGGTGGTTACCGGCAAGTCTGCCTTTGTGGGTCTATGTGGCTGAATGAGTGAGTGACCGAGTGCCGTCGGCATTATATAAATGGATCGGTGTGTGTGGGGAGCCCCCAAAGCCGTCGAGCACGTGAAACACACATTTTTTTACTGCCCCCCAAGCGGCGACCAAGCCCCCCTCCACCCCACCTCCAAATCCGTATATTACCTGCCCAGTTACAGTGACACATGTTTATGTTTATAGTCCTGGTTTGTAGTAGTGTCAAGAGCCGCAGCAAGAGGAGGGGGAGGAGAGAGAAGAGGGAGGAGTAAATGCAACCACCCCCACTTGTTGTTAAAGCAAATTTACTGCGTTATTGTAGGGCCGGTACGGGGGGCTGGGAAGTGAGTGGAGAGGAAGGGTTAGAGTTGGGTTGTGTGTTGCTGGAGGAAGAGGGGGTGGGGTTAGGAGATCCGGGATGGAGCTCCTCTCCGCAGCGGCCCGGGAAAAGCAGCTCAGTCAATAGGGGAGCATACTGGCGCGGTCGAAAACAAAAAGGTTCCTCCTGCTCGCTGCGTTCACGTGGGGGGCTCCGCACGCGGGGCTCCAGGGCCCTGACCTCTGACCCCGGCTCCTCTCCGCGCTCTCCCGGTGCCGCGCGGCCACTTTTTACCCAGGATCCCTCGCGCGGGCCGCGCTCGTGCCGAGCTCGAGTCCTCCTTAATCCTCCATTCCCCGATTTCCATCCCCTCCCCCCCCCC